TGATGGCTGTAGCTCATCCAGTATAATGACAAATTACTGTTTAACAGTCTTTAACAATGGCAGCCATCCTCACTCTCTGCGTAACAAGAGATAGATACTGGGAAGTCTTCTGCACTGCAGAAACTGACTTAGGTAATAACAACCCCATGCAGATATGTCTTTATCTTCTACATCTGCCCGGCACTATAGTTGATTAGGAGACACTACAAAAGTCTAGGGCATCATGCAGCTCCCCCAGGGCCATCACCACTCTGAACAGAAACCAAGTCGAATCATTACATAGGGACATGTAAATAGTGATCTCGTTTGGTGACTGCACTGATAAGTTGGAAGTGGTGGGGGAAGACGCTTTGTGTCAATCTGGAACCTATCTGTTGGTTTTCCACTCAAATAAGAAAGAAATGGGTGGTTGGATTTTTGTCACAATATGCTGCCACACTTCAAATAAAAGGCTACACTTCTTAACTAAAAGTGTATTCCAAAAAGAAAGAGGAAGTATAACTTCATTTCCATGAAAAGCTACATACTTTTCAAGACTTCCCATCTCCAAACACTTTTGAGGCAAAATAGTTAAGCATTGATCCAAACTAGAAAATGGTTTCTTTTACTTTGAAACAAAAGCTTTGGTGAGCAAACTGAAGTTTCTTCTGAATGTACTGAGGAATTACTTTCAGTTAGAGGAAAATGATAAGAAACACATACGAAGGAATGTTTCAAAGGTAAGTAATTTTATACATGCACCAAACCTGAGTTTATTGTAGGTCAAGAAATTATTTTCGAGACTGAGTTTTGGATCCTTCAAATTTATGCTCAGCCTGAGACAACTGAAAGAAATTTTCCTTTTATGAATTGTAAGTTTGATAGACGAATTGAGACACACAGTCTATTGTGGATTTGGCACACTGTCCTGCCTCTCAACTTTAGTGGTCATGAGATGAACCTCAGTGCATGAGAAGGAAGGCCTCTATTCATAATTTTGAAATGTTGCAAAATGAAGGTATATTTGTGGAAAACAGGAACTCACTGAAAAGTACAAAAGAATCCTGTATTCTGTAGTAGCCTGCAGTACTCCTGAAAACAGAGACACTTAGGACACAAGAGAATGGAGATGTGCACACAAGTGCTTTCCAAATGCAATTTGCAGAGTGAAGAATCAAGAGATTCCAGGACTTCCCCTATTTGAAGGAAGGCTCTCCAAATTAACATTAGATCACAGATCACAGTAGCAAGCAATATCTAAATGCAGCTTTTCTTAGTTTAAAATTATTAGAAACATTGTTTTGACTGCTAAGGCAGGGAGAGAGGAGCACTGCTCCTAGGAAAAATGCTCATTCACTTCCCAAGCAGGCAAACACTATATGCTTTTGAAGCAAAGTGCTACATGAAACCAAGTGCTTTCCAAACAACTCATCTAGTTAAGTTTATGGCATAACTTAGTTGAAAGCTGTTCCAAGATGTCAGGTTGTAAGTAGAACAAAAATATTTTGAGGAGAGCTTTGAGAATATACTTTTTTCAAAGCAGAGAAACAATCAAGTGATCCAATTGAAAAAATTGCTTTCTTGGGCCAACTTCCTTTTGGAAGAGAGCCGAGAAATCCATCTGTCCCAAAAGGTCAGCCATAAACAAATATTAGGAAAAGTGTTTACATGTATAGATGAATTTGGTTAGCCAGGCACTGAGAAATGTGAATGAAAGAAATCTGCGTTCTGAACCTTAGCTAGTATTTGCTCCTACAGAAAAGCTGTCCATTAAAAAACAAACAAAAACCCAGTAAGATGAACACAGGAACCGAAGCACACACATCAATTGCCACTAGCTATTACACTGTTTGAACTGCTTTGGTATTAATGATGAACATGTCCCTCTTTTTTCCAGTATTTGACTGAAAGTTGTGCACACAGCATTATGTAAAGTCCCTGTTTTCAAAGTTTAGCACAGAAAAAGACAAATTAAGTTTCTTTCGAAATATTTTTTTCCATATTTATAGTTTTCCCACTTTGACACAACACCTTTCTATAGTTTTTCTTTAAAAGTGTGTATTTTAAAATAAATCATATCAAACAATTCAAGCAATTGGATCTAAATCTCTACTGACAAGCTAAGTTATAATAGGAAGTCCTGACAAAAGTCACCATAAGTATGCAACAAAAATAATGAATACACATTTTATTTATACTTCAGCTGTGCTTTCTGTAAATAACTGTTTCAGTTTCTTTGATGAATTAAAGGAGAGAATAAGTTGCTTTAGTCTTCACAGGTAATGGGAGGAACATCCCTCTATCTACAAACTGTCTCTTAGAATTTAACACGAGTAGAAGATCTTCAATATTATGCATTACCATTTAAGCAGGAAATGCAGACTACAAGACCAGAGAATTAATCAAAACCTTTTTTAAATGGATGTAATTAAAAAAAAACGAAACAAAAACAACTTTATATATTTAGTTCTCAAAGCAGCTTTCATTCCACATTTAAGTCTTATAAGTATCTGAAGATTTTAATCACTGTACATGTGAGCTGGAGCTTAGACGCCTTCCAGGCAAATAAAAAATTGTAGCCGGAGATTAATAAAATACAGGAAAGCGAAGAAAAACTCCACAATCTCGTATCGCACAATTCAAGTTTATTCCATTCATTCTTGCAACACAAACTTAAAAATACAGTATCATTTAGCATTCTGATGTCTATGAACCATGATAATGATGAACCCAACTGTGTCAAAACAGTTAACAATGGTGAAAAGAGGAAGTCAAATATCAAAATGCACAGAGCACTAATTTTCTTCTGTCACTGCGTAGAAAGATGATTGTTTACCATTTACAAAATATAATTAAGACAAGTTCATTTTGAAATTTTGCATGCAACACTGCAATTGCTTGACCTAGGACACTCCATTCTTACCAGCCTGTTCTACAAATAATTCAATGTTATGTTCAGGGACAAAGTTCCATTTAATTATCATACTCCTTTTCCCATGTGCTCCCCCTTAAGAAAAAGGAGCAGAGGGTACAAAATCCAAATTATACTTAAAGTTATAACTTATTCAGCATTCAAAGGAAAAGGTTTAAGAACAGAGTGGATTTCCAAGTATATGTGATTCCAGTCTGACAAAGTATTTAAATTCTGTTTACAGAATGTAAAATAATTTACAGTTTGGTATTTTCATCTAGTTAGGACCTACTCAAAGATACAGGCAGCCACCCATTACTTTTTCCACAATATAGCTAACAAGAAGGGAACAAATGAACAAGCCCAGTTTCTCGACAATTACAAAAGCATAAGCTTTTATTATTACTTTTTTTTTTTTTTTAAATCCTGGGCAAAATGATCAATCACCTCTTATGTAGTGCAAAAAGCAAAAAAGTATTTCCTCTTTATGAGCCAAACATTAAATGCCATCTTTTAACTATCTCGAAAGGCAGCTTGGGTATATATTACAGCCAAATTAACACTTGTCTCACTGAAGTTTGTTTGCATTTTTTTTTCCTTAAGTGAAGTAAGAAAAAATAAGGTGTCCACATAATTGTAGAAAAAGGGAGGCAAAATTGCCTCAGTGAATCACCAGAAGAGTTAGTACAAAGATGATGTTTCTTTACTATGATAATGCTCACTTAAATGAGAGTTGAAGGGAAGGGCAGGAGAGAATACAGAGAAAAAACAAACCAAAACCACTATGGCCAGACAACTTGACACTAATCAACAAAAAACTTGAATAATCAAGTTTTCCACATAAAAACAGATTGCAGTTTTCTAGACTAGTATTTTAATAGCTAAGTATTTAATAGCATAATATGGAGGCAAATTTATGCCAAAGATGGTTACTTTCATAGCTGAATAAAGAGTTAAAATTATAGTCTGTGTTCACACTATTACAATGACATGACAATCCAGCACTGATCAGAGATAAGATTAAAGAGTTCTCTTTAAATAGTCATTAAAAGCACTGTTCACCAAACATGCTTGTTCTTTTATCAGCAGCTCACCAATTGATCTATCACTGATTGCCAACCCTTCTGCTCTTCTTTGCCACCCATCTCCAAGAAGCAAAGAGTAATTGCACTGTACAGTTTATGGACAGAGTTGATTGTTTTCTCCATTGCTTTTCTTATGGGACGTGTACATGTAAATCAGTTTCTGCTCTCCTTTTACAGTCTAAATGCAAGGCTTTTTATAGCTGAGACATTCAATCATAATATGCAACATGATTCAAGTATAACTAAGTCTCCATTAAATATGAGTGGTAGTCACCAGCCTACTTCTACATATCCTCTCAATTTCAACAGTGATATCAAAATAATACCCACTACTTTTGTTTAAGAATTCAGCATGAGACATTATATACATTTATTTTCTGTATTGTGTATGTTATCAGAAAGTTTGACATCTGTATTCCAAAAAAGAGGAAGATGTATAGTTTGTGGTACACACTTTTCTGTTATAAAACCTGTTACTCAGTTTTGGGTGAATGAACAGTCTAATGAAAATTTTCAAGATGAAAGCCAGAAGCTCAGACGTTCCTGAGGACCATAAGATGTGATGGGAATCCTACAACATCATTAAATACCTTCCCATGAATTATCAAGGCTGTCACAGTACTGTCATACTTACTGGTATAGTAAATCTTACCTAGTAGTCGATGGTTAATGTGGTATGGTTGCACTGGGAACTGTCAGAACAAGCCCCATGCCTTAATGACATTTAAGAGGTTCATTCAGCCAACAACGAAACACCAATTCAAAAATATGCACAATGAAAAGTGTGGGGTTTTTTTCCTCCAGTTAGAGGAAGTTAAGACTTCTACTTGTACATCTTCCTGTTCCTAACACCTGAACTTAGAAAGCTTACATCTATTTTCAAAGTTTACCAGAAAAGTTTAGCAACAATATTCACCTGATAGGAATGTCTAAACAGTTACTGTTCATTTTTTGACTTGATTATCCTTGCGTACCAAGCAGCCTGTAGCTTTCGCACATGTCTATAAATTTTATGTTGACATGGTGAGTAAAGAAATTTCATCTTACAATCCTTTTGGAAGTAACTACAGTGACATTCTGAACTCTCTCAAAAACAATTGCTTAAAACGTCTGTCCTGTCCTGGACAAACATGAGAAAGAAAAACCTCAAATTCAAGCATCCAAAAGTACCTTGGCAGATATTCTGGAGTGTAATACCACCATGCCTCAACTGATCTTTCCTGGTTTACTTGAGAGTCAGAAAAACATTAGTGTGACATCCAATTAGTCAATATAAAGAACAGCTCCAATAACTAGTATCAAAAGTCCTCAAAACTGCAACGTAAGCTTTAGGCAGAAGAAGAATAAAGCTACCCACTGAGAGAGAAGAGAGAAAAGCAACCCAGCCCCTACATTACTACACTTCAGATTATGGCAGACACTAACAGCATGGGACTATTGTCTCCTTCACAATCAGTTTCAGGTACGTAGCACAGTACTTCCATCTAAAGGAATCTTTCCACAAAAATCTTAGTACTAACCTAGGAGGTTTACAAACCAAAAATTCAAGATCATGGTCTGTCTTCCTTCTTCCATTTTCACTAGAAATGGGAAGAGATTGTGCACTGAAAAGAAGTCCTAGATGGATACTGTTCATAATAGTTTTCAACCCGCTCCAAACAGATTATCTTCGATACAAGCCCCTAACTAGTCTGATTCATAAAGAATTTCCCTCCCCCCAAAGTATTTAGCTGAAGAAGCTGGAAGATGCAAAGAGTGACAGACAGGCAGCAGTGTGAGGCCACAGGAGAGACATTTAAGATATCAGTCCATCCGTCACTGAAGAAGAGTTTTGATTGCCTGGTTGTCAGTGGCTTCAAAGGCAGTTAGTCCATCTGGGCCTTTCACAGTCTTATCAGCACCCTGTAAAGACATTGAGAAGGACTGTCAATTCATAAAGCCAGGCTGTATTAATCTTAAGTGTGTCACAAAAATTACTTACCTCGGATAATTATATTGACTACATACAGCTTTTCAGTGCAGTGCATTGTTTTCATTTAGAAACCAAACAGGCAAGATTTAAGTACAAAACTATTTGGCACACAGCTAATCTAAATTTCAAAATTTACTTTAGAACTAGAAAAAAAAAGTCACATAACCTTTTTCACACAGCAAGTTGCAAGATCAACAAATTATCAATTAATCTTGGATAGAAACAGAAGGATTTTTTGTTTGTTTATTTCCAGCAATTACTCATACGAAGGTAAGAATTCAGTATTACACACTTCCATGAAATCTATGCTGCAGCAGGCTTTTTCACATGCTAAATTAAACAAGTAACCTCTGGAAAAGCTTACTTACTAACAAATCATGCCCTTTTTTTCTTTCTATATCATAAGAGACTACATCCATCTAGGATTGTGCTTCTCTCTCCCATTTTAAAAAAATCCTTATTGCTACATAGAAAAAAAGCCCAAATCATTCCAAGTCCAAAACTGATCAAGTTTGTTTTGAATAAGCTATGCCTACACCTAAAAGGCAACGACACAGAATAGGGAGGCAACAGGAGGATAGATAACAGAAATGCACCAACTAGACAAACTGCAGAATAGTAAGCACAAACGCAGCCTCAGTGCCAGAATTATGAAAGGAGAGCAAAAGAGAAGCAGAGAGTGATTCACTAGTCATGTTTGTTTTGAGCACTGTGTAGTCATATACATAAAAGTGAAAAACCAGACTAAATTGTAAATAGAGTAGCTAAATAAAGGGATAAAAGTTATTAGAGAACACAGGACAGACTACAGACATTCCTGAAAATAAGTTAGATTCCAGAATTCCTCTTGAGAAGATACGCAAGTCTCACTTTAAAATATGTGTATTCGCTCAATCAAGTGACGAAAAACACTGTGGGTGGCAACAGCATGTACTGCAGAGGTTTGTCTTTAGTTTTACATATAAACTCTCTATTGAATAACTACAAATATCTTCTCAATTACATTACAAGAAAAGAAGTGCACAGATTGATAGTGAAGGATACCCAATAGTTTTCTAAGATCATAATGGACCTAGAATTTCAAGACCTTCTTTACTGAGAAAAGATTATGCACATAAAAGCCCACTAAACTTCCATACATAATACCATGTCTGTTCCCAAGACAACTCTCAGCCCACTGAACTTCCCATTGTAACTGTTTCTAAATCTAATAAACTGGATCTGACATTACTATGATTTGCTGCCAATACTACTCTTCGTAACATAGAATATTTCCATCTTTGGAACCCCTACTCTCTTTACTTGTAAATATTCAATCTGCCATTCTAAAAAGCTGGTTTTACAGTGGTTTCTAAGGCAGCAGTACTTATCCTGTGGTCCACTGGCCAAGCTGATCCTGTTGCAGCTCTTCATCTTTCTTGCAGCCCCCTAGAGACCCTCAGCGCAAGACACGAGCTGAACAGACTGATTTGTTTGGTGGCAGTCAGCTGTGGGGCAGGGAGACAGGCTTCTGCTATCAGGGAAAGA